CTTTTTACTCACATTGTCTAGCTTTCTGCTAATGGCTTCGGCCATTTGACATCAGATACTTATTTTATAAGTCAGACAATAATATTTTTGTCGGGAGGAATATTTCATACTTTTAATCATAAAAGGGGCTCATTCTGACTTTGTTCACATAAATATCTATTTAAAACACATTTATTCATATTTTTTTCTTTTATTTATTATTATAAATATATCTATGGATTGCTTAGCAAGACAGGGTACAAGTTGATGATTATTTTTCTGGTCCAAATAGCTCTTTTGCTGTCGTTCAATTGCGTGCCCATCTGAATGCAGAAATTACGCTTAAGGCATTCTGAAGCCCATAATAAAACAGAATATCGGCAGTCTTGTTAGTATTTGTATCTGGTAATTAGCCCTAAATCGTAAACTTTACAGTGTCATAGAGTAGATTCCCAACTGAAAATATGGGGTCCTGATACTTTATCTTAACTTGCAAACTGGTGACAATAACTTATAAACCAGCATTTCCACTTTTGCTTATTCATGGTGTGAAATGATTCGAGCATTACTCTAAAGTGTAGATCACATTAAGCCAATAAAGTATAGTGAAGCGGCAACACTGATTGACAAATGTCTAACCGAGACAAGAATAAAAAAGTGCTAAAAAGGCGTTTCAATTTAATATTTTATCTTTGAGCATAGCTGCAAAGGGTGCGACTCGAAAATCTGGTTCCAGACAAAGCAGCGCAAACCGACATAAACAGTCCGCTGGTAAGACAGGCGGCGTCACTGGCACCAGTAACCTCTCTGGCCCCGTTGGACAGACTGTACCTGCTAAAGGTCCTGAATCAACGGACTCCAAAGCTTCTGTAGCAGGCGGTCTTGGTGACATTTGCCCAGCCTCCTCACATCCTTCGGAGAGGCAGGATTCTGCCAAACTCGCCGAGACCATTGATCCTAAGCTAGTATTCTCCCTGCATTTGCCAGACTGTCTGAGAGTTCCGGGCGAAGTAGAACTCCTGACGACTCGATACTGCGATCAAGTGGCAGTAGGATTCTGCCAGAGGCTCAGAGTCGATCAGAAAACCGTTGCGGAAACCCGCCGTCGGCTTATGGCCCAGCTGCATCTTGGCTGTGGGAACTGGCTGGAGCCGAGTCTGGCCGAGCTAGAGGCGATGTCATTAACGACGGTGACAAAAGAGTTGAAAAGAGGCAAGCAGATGAATAAAAAGTGGGGCAAGCGAGGCCAGGATGTAGAAGATACTATGCACCAGCAACAAAAATCACAAGGTCCAGCCACGATGGAGATGTCAATTGGCCTGGAGGACAAACAGACAGGGCCGAATAGAGCGTTTCGCGATTTGCTGGCCGCATGGGAGGAAAATCGACGGAGGGAGTTTTCTGAGAGGAGTCAGGAGAAAGAAGAGCAAATCGAGTTGGTTCAGCTTCTGCAGGTATGCTGGATAGCATATAATTAAAGATAATTTGTGGCCATTAATTAAATTTTAGGTTTATCCAATAGTTTCGTCTTCACAGACTTTCATATCACATTAATCTACTGCTTTCAAAGTCACTCTTATTTCGGGTATGCTGCAAGGTCTATGTGGGGACGACCTGTCGACTTAGCACAAAACTGGTTGGGTCCAAAAATCTTAGCTAGCTGTGCACATCTGGTTGTTACAGAATCCATATAGAATGGTCCAGAAGACAGCGTTTTACAGACATCGAGGATTTGGTATCCAAGCCCACGATTAGGTAGCTTGTATGAATAAGCAAAACAGCCAACATTTTGAACGGAAGGAATGAGTATAGGAAATAGTGTGGAAATATTTGTGACTGTTGGACAAACTTAAGGGGAACAGGAAGAACCTACGAGTACGAAAAGAAAGCTTGAATAGCTTTGATTGTGATTCACATAGTTTTAAAGTTGCATGCACACATGATGTACTGCCACACAACCAACTATGCGTAAAATTGCAGGATCACATGTTGATTTCTTTTTCATGCTTCGACCTCCCCCACCTGCCAAATTGTATGTTAGGCATGAAATATTCAACAAAATCATGCATTGCCTCATTTACATCGCAAAGTTCGGTATAAGAAATAAATGCGATTGCAACGAGCCATCCTTGTCTTTGAGCTTATCTTATTTGGTGCGTTTTTATCGTAAATGATACTTTCTCGATCTGAAGATGTCCGTCATATGGCAGACAAAAGTTTTGCATAGGTTCGTCGGAATCGCAGACGGTGAGCAGAAGACTTCTACGCACAAGCCAACACTCTTCACTGCAAGGCAATCCTCCTCCTTCGGTTACCGGTGAGATTAATTTACGAATTCCTTCTAACCAACTTTTTCTTCGAATGCAAATTCTGTATCATAATCATGGAATCTGTTGGACTGCATTGAATCACGAAGTAGACCTGAGACATGGATTGTGAAAATCTGACCCCTTCCTCCTGCCTTGCAACTGCGCTGAAAGAATTCTATTAAGTCAGACTAACTGCTTTTAAATCTGCACTTCCAGTAATTCTGCCGTTCGGCCGGGCGCTCCCAGACAATAGAGATAGCTTAGGTTAGTTAAGACGAAGTAAAGTGAGCTTGCTACAATCGAAAGCCTTGCTTTGGCAAAGGATTCTGCGATAGTATATAGCTTGCCAGCCTACTTACTATGTGTGGCCTCTCATAATGCGATAGCATCATAAGGTCTATTTATATCATTTAAGGGCGGAACTCCATCTAAACTCTTCAAATCGTTTTAAATGACTGGGGATACTTATTTAAGAATTGCTGATATATTCGAAGCCTACTCAAACAGAGTACGAGTAATACCATCGATTTGGCATGCAATTAAATTGTTAAGTCTTCGAGACTCCCATTAGATATGTGATTTGGGTGGGGCCAGGCTTGGTTTGAAAGTCACATCTGTCTTTTGACCCATTGGCACTCGTACTGGTGCCGAAGAGGTGATAAAATCTGCTTGATGGGAGAGCCAGGTGAAATTTAGTGGCATCGTGAGGCCTATTCAGTGGAGAAATGTTTAGCATTTTTAGAGAATTTTTCGTTGATAAAGGCTTTTGCCTCTGAATATGGCAGTTAAATGACAACCGAAAGCCCAGCACCGATTAATCAGAGTTACACGCTGGTTAGCCGAGGTCTTCTTGGCCCAATCTAGCAGTCACTAGTCCAAGGAGATCCTCCTTCAATGTCAGACGACGTCAATCTAAGAATACCCTAATCCGCCTTTTCCAACACAACAAAAGGTACGCCAACTCAAATATGCCAAATAATTCTTCGAAATCAAGCTTATTTTCATTTATAAGTTGGTTAAGTTCTAATCTAACAATTAGTAATACTTGAGAAACCTCCTCTCATCGAATATACCTGCGACCTATTGTATAGGTGAACTCATTTCACCAAATATTCCATACTCAAAAATGTGGAAAATTCGAGAACCTAATGTCTTCCGATTAGGGAGTCCATCTACCAGGTTGCTTGTATCCTCATTTAACAATTCAGCCCCTGCGCGATAAACAAAGCATGCAAATACTGCACAAGATGTCACATCAAATGAGACAATTGGGTAATAGCAGAATTAAGATGGAGCAGTGTTGGGGATAGACAAATATATTAATATGTGTATATTAGAGAAGTGATAGACGATTTTATGGAATTAGCATGGAGGTCAGTTCAAGTTATAATGAGTTATTTCTAAAAAAGGGATTTAGATTATCTCAAAACTTGTGTATATAAATTGAATTGTAATAGCATTTTCAAGATCTACTTCTTTCTTTAAAAGGAGAAAGTGTGGTGATGCCCTTAAAACAGCAACTATTTACATTCATTTTACCCTTAAACATTAACCTCCTAAAATATGATACTCAAGCCCGTCAAAGTATTCAATCTTATCAAAGATATTTGTTTAAACACTTCTTATATTGTATAGCTTATAAAGTAAGTACAGACAAGTTGCAATTAGTACGTGTAATTCAAGGTGTAGAAATGGGACTCAGTTGAACATATGACTATTCGAAATTTCGGCAACATAGATTAAAGCGATTGTTTCCATACTATTAAATAAATTGATAAAGAATTTTTAATTGTCTAATTTTTTTAGTTTCACAATGCCACATAATAGTCAAGGTTAATCAAAAGTATCAAAGTAGTCTTAATCTCTACTTATAAACGAAGAATTAAAGACCAAAGCTTAATTATAAGCCAATAAATACAGTATAGAAAGCATCATAGCCCGATGTTTAGCAATTGTATGGGCAAAAGTTCTTCTAAAGTAGTTTGCTTTAAATATTTTAATATTTCCTTGGACCATGTGTTGCAATAAAGATCTATTTGTTGGCAAAGATGTTACCTTTCCATACGTACACAATGCTATCATGATAGCATTTTTATGGTATATAATAAGCAAAAGCAGGTTTCGATTAATCTCTTCCGATAACATTGTTGTAGAGACTTTCATTTCTCTTGAGTGCATGATGAAGAGATGGCTGCTTCTCGCCTTACGACGTCTATATTCACGAGCTCCACTAGACATGCACCCTAGTCATGTTGACTTAGTTTTTACATGAGACTTTTGCAAGAACGAGCCCCAGCTCTGCTAGTGTTCGCCATTTGACGAAAGAAAGCCCAGTCCTCTTTCATTCTAAACGAGGGAAGATGTTTTGTGGTCTGCATCAACCGGAACGTCGTATTGCCAAACATTGGCAACACGACGGGAATCGGAAGTCGTCTTCTGGTTAGACAATCATGAACTTAAATACGAAATCAAAGTCGTTATTATGATACTTATATTGCGAGAGGTGGTTTCTAAACTGGATTAAGTTGATACAGCTTTACTTTTTCCCTTTATTTCGTCTGCTTGTCTTAAAATATACCGTTGAGTCATGCAATCCAATATCTTCATCAATTTTGGAATCGCTATCACTAAGGTTTTGTCTTTTTAGTGTATCACATTTTTATTTTCATATCATCACTTATCGCCTAATTTCGCCTCAATTACTCACTTTAACATTCTTCCCTTTGTCCACATTTACAAGGGGGATTTCGTATAATATTTACATTAATTTACTGTACATATAAAGCTGGTTGGCATGACAAGCATTGGCATGTTCATAAAGGGGAACAGTACAATGATGAGTGATGCGTCTAACCGCTGCCCTGTAATCTTCAACACTATTTACTGAATATCGGCTCGTATTACATGCGGCCTGATGTCAATTTAGAGATCGTACTAAATCTAATTTCACAGTATTCTAGCACGAATTAATTGCGACCTGCCTGTAATTGGTCAACCCAGGTTGCTTAAGGAGTGATAATTAAGTATTCCCACAACAGATGGATAGACCTCAGAATGATATTGTATTTCACTTGACCTCGCCTCCCAAAAGGTTCTTTTAACCAGAATGAAATGCATTATCATCACCCAAACGGAATTCGAAACTGGCAACACCTTATCACTAAGTCACACAGTCAGGATTCTCCCATTTACATCTAGATTGGGATTTTCGACAAAACAAACATGTATCTGCTATTTCAATCGAGAACATTATTTATTTATGATGTGAGTAAGTTTCGATACGATTAATAATTGTTGAATATGAACTTAGCCCCCTTGTATCCTTTAAGCTGAGTTAAAGACTGATAGTTAAGATTTCCAACATAGATATTAGTAGTAATGATGATGCCATTTAATTTCATTTTCAACTTGCATCCTATAATGGGATTGGAGCTTATTTCTCTGGCCAATTTAGGATGTGGAAATCTTACAAATTATCTTTTGACGCCCGAATAAGTTTCTTATTTGGCCGAGTGGTTAGTGTGTGAAGCTCCCATTCTGCACTGTCGCGGTTCGAATCCCGCTGAGGGCGTTGATAAGACCGATGCGAGGTCGAAACTGCAGTCCACTGGTGCCTGAATGAGAACAACTTTTGCGAAAGCAAGGCTATTTGAAATTCAATGGAAACGTCAGCTCAACTCATGTCATTGTGGGAAAATTCTTCTTCTACCAGTACTTCATCAGCTTAAACAAAATAGGGTGAATAGATCTCATATTACTTATTTACTGGTCGTCTCGAAAAAATACTTAAATGCTAAAAAGAAGTGTGATATATTTTGAAATATCGGAGCATTGTATCGAGATAAAATGTATGATACAGTTTGTTGGCCAAATCAGCCTTGCTCTCCAATACGCAATGAGTAATTCATTAGGCAGCAATTTAAGGACTTACTTTTGGTGTGAGTATGTTTAGAAACGTGAATTCTTCTCGTTTCTAATAAGCTATCTTTATTTGAATCATTAATTTAATATTTTACTTTCGATTTTAGAGTATAACTTAGTAACAAAACTCCTAATTCTTTGCTCAGAAATCAAATTTAACATTTTTTGGAAAAGTAGCCACTTATGGATACTATTATCAGGAAGGCATAATTAGTATACTAGCTCTCATGATGGAAACGTTAAGCTACTTTTAATTTCTTATCGATTAACTTTTCTACCTGCTTTACCACGAAGACTAATTGGCTCCCTGCTCGCCTTTTCTTCGCAGTCAGTTCTTTCTCATCAAGACTGTGTTTGGGTCCTGATTCTATTTTAATATACACGCACAAAAAAAACGTCTTAGATATTAAATCTGTTACGATTTTTTCAATAGTTTGGTTCAAAATTTAGTCTGTTCCCTAGTACGGTAAAGGTAACAAGGCATCACATTAAATTATTCAGAAATATGAACAATCATCTGCCAAAATGTCCAATTCTTCAGCCTACCAATCAGTTTACTTTGTCTATATTATTCTAATTAAACTATAGATTTTTTTTTCATATAAACTAACTGAGGGCATAAGCTCCAAAGGAACAATGTGCTTGCCTACATATACGCAATTATACTAATTTTCGAGGTATGGCTTCGCATGAACATCCTATCTCCGACGGAATAACCGTAAAATCGAAATTTGCAATAACCCTCTCTCAAATGCACCTATTCATGTTGCATTCAGAATTTCGAAGGTGACGGAAAGTACTCACAGCACAAATATCTAATAAAAACCCAAACTAATTTATGTTTTATCGTTAAGAGTGAAAAGATATTAATGTTATTCTACAAATGTCAATGATGAGTCATATTGTGGCAAAATAAAAACATTCATATCGTTTTTAAGAGTTGTATTTCCCCCAGTTCTTATAAAATGGTGAGCGATTAACTGGTGATTTTCCCCATATTACAAGGTCTTATAAATTAATTGAGGATAAATCAATATGACAAAATCTGTTTGCTTTCATACACATACGGAATTATTTCCACTATGATACTTATGATTTTTGAAGAGTATAAACAGAAAAGTCAATCGAATGCTAATTGAAATAGGCCTAAGAGTAGGCAATAAAATTCATTAACTAAGAAAATTAATTTTTTGATTAATTTTAGAAGTAGCAAACGAAATACAAAATAAACGTCTTAAAAGTGTGATCTACTAAAAGATGTTAGAGAATATAGTATTTTCCTAACTTCCAGGTATCACTCCAAAAAAGCAAACAGCATCAAGCCGTACGTTCCATCTCATGCTTACACAATGAATCTATTGCAGACTTCCAAAATTTCACAAGAATTTATTAAACTTTATTTTCAGAAATCTGTTATTTTGGGACCAAATAAACCTTATTGATTCTGGCCTTGAAGCATAGTTATAAGTGCTCTATTTAGTGTGGTTGATCAGCAAACGTTTGGAAGTATTCTAAATTGTACCATTGCGTGACTACGAACCAATAAGGAATTTAGAGGTCTTGAATATATGTTATTATGGGAATAAAAGGGCAATATTGCTGACGTAGAATGATGATTACTGAAAGTCGAAAATAGGCGACATACAGACAATTATAAAAATATTTGTTTTAACCAGAATGAATTATTAATTTTTTTAAATTTTATTTATGCTCAGATTATGAAAAATTATTGGATACACATTGAAATAAGAACTACGAAATTTAATCCTCCTTATCAGATACTCTTTCCAATTTTTACCTCTGTTTTCACCCAGACCAAGTTAAATCACGTCCGAATTGTATACACTGCAAATCTTATTCGCCTAAGCCTAGCGCCCAAAGTCAAAAACGATGAAATTCTTTTCTTATGCGCTTTTCGACCTCCGATTGACTATCACTCGACTGCCTTGTACAACGGTTCAACCGAGCCAGCTTTACAGTCCAGTTTTCCATGGGGCATTCGGGAAGACTTTACACAGGATTCTGTCGCCTTGCAATCTGGGCAAGCCAACCAAGTGAATACATTCACTATGGTCCTTGCTCCACCTTCACCCCAGTCAGAAATGTGCAAGTCTTCTGAGGGTTCATCTAAACGGTATTATTCAGATCACGATCCGGCTACAAGTAACTTATTAGCCCCAGGAGCTAAGGCAGAAGAAAAAATGGGCCTTTAGATCCTATAAATCTGAATCGAATATTTAAATAAATATAATTAATTTGTATGCCCTAATCAGTCCTGTGAGCTTTGAAAGCCAATCAAACCAGTTTCGGGGAAATAAAGCTCCTGAAAAAAGTGAGATCGATGGATGTTCTGTGTCAGTGTATACACTAAATGTTGTCACTTGTTCACGTGTCTGCATTTTCTCATGTATTCACCCTTTTTAGCGGCACTTGTGCAAAACTTTAATACTTCTATTTGCCGTTTCTGAGGCAGCAACCTTTAAATTATTCTTCTGCTTCAGGCACTAGTCAACTTTCAGACCACCCACTACTCACATGTTCTCACAAACTCTTGATTATCATTCATGTCATTCAAGTAGTACATATGATCTAAAATTCAGTAAGAGTGAATTTTGTTGTAGAGGAATGAGGTCAAGAAATACAATTTATAAAGTTTTATGATTACTGAAAAAAACATACGGATTGAGTGAAATCATGACCAGCAGAAGAGTTTTGTTGTTGATACTTTTGCTTATGTAGGCTGCTGATTCATATTGATTTATTATGATGATCAGCATTCTAAAATCATTGCAATACTAATTGTGGCCTTCTAAGCGACATGCTTCCATTGTTTTGTTGCATTTTGATCAAAATAAAGTATTGATTCAGAAATTCTTCATTGCAACTAGGTTTATGAAGTGATTTGCCCTACATGCCAAATAGGCTCACATTAATGTTGGGGTACCTTTCATTTAGTTTGAAGGGGTGAATGGAAGGGATTTGTGAGTTGATCTTACCGAAAGCTATAGGGGAATTGTCTTGGAGCTATGATTGCTGTAGAATCAAAGGTATAAGTGGTTTAAGGGAGGATGCAGCTGTTCGGTTACAGTTGCATCCGTTTTATGATTTATCTGTAGCCATTTCACATGTCATTCGTAGCCACTTGACTAAATTTTCAGCAAGCATTTTGGCAAAGCACAGGATATCCAACCAAAAAATGAAATGCCAAATTGGACTATAAGAAGTAGGTAGGTTTGAAGCCGGCCACCTTTCTTGCCTTCGTGTTTTTGATGAATTAGCTTTACGCATTTTGTCCTGATCTGACGATGTACGTCACTTAACGGACAAAAACTCAGCAAGGATTCTTCGGGATCGCAGGACGGTGCAGCGAGGACCTATTCACACAAATCTATAATCACAGCTCCAAGGCAATCCCTTTACATCTTCCGGTGAGATGAGCTTACGAATCCATTCTACTCACATCTTCAAATGAATTGAAAGATACTCCAACATCAATCTATTAAGGGGATCTTCGAAATCCAGTTTTTATACATATAGGCCCACATTAATCTGAGAAGAAAAGTGAGAATCTATATGATTTATCCTCTAAGCTGGATATATTTTAGGGACAGTTAAGTTTTCTATTGATACCCTCTGCCTATCATCACTTATACTGATTAGTTATTTGTAAAGTTTTCAGTTTTCGATAAGCTAGATCTCTCTAAATAAATGACATGATATTTTGTCAAATTCACTTACAAGTCCCGTTTACCTTCTTTCCTGCATCAAACATACCTGCATGCATGCTCATAAACTTGTCTTTCTACATTTTAGTTCATCGTTGACCAGTCGCGCGCCAATTACTTCACTCTATGTTCTAGTTTATTTCAAAGTTTTATTGATGCAGAATCGCTTCGTGAGGGACAATCAGCTGAAAAGGCAGAGCACGAAATGAGTCAAGATAGAGAGGGTGCTATACAAGAAGGCACTCCACCTCCGAGAAAGAAGTCTTCACGTAGAACAAATTCTTCATCAGGTGAACGAACTACAAAAGCGAAGTCTCCATCTGCGGCAGGAAAATCTAGCTCTGGCGCAAAGAAGTCCCGATAGCAGAACAATTCGCGATCTCATACTCCCCCATTAACTCACCATTATACAATTATTTATAGGCTCGGTAACAGTCTATGTAAATACTTGCGATAGTTTGCATTGACTTAGCTTCAAAAGACTATTGAATTAACAGAGGATGCCATACGCATTACATGACAAATCATGAAGGCACTTTTATAAATTATTTTGCCATAGATACCCTTGTGCTATCCTACAACTTGTATCGTGTCTGCAGGTTTGATGGACATTCTTTTCAATGTAGTAAATTAAATTTTCTCACTCAGTAAAGAATCTTTTACGTGTCTATTAGCAAGTGGGGTTAGCATGCATTTTCTAGATAAATTGGATCGACTTTCTTATCACTATGTTATGCAAACTAATTTACTTAATGTAACATGCATAAGAGTGCGTATCCTTGCTGTTCCGCACTATGTCATTATATCCTTTCATTTCAAGCATCAATAGAAGTAAAAACAAAGAATTTAGCGTCTTAATTAGACCCTTAAGGATAATTCAACTCCCGATCATACTTGAAATGTCAAATTCGGTCAAAATAGGGTTTTATGAACCCGCGACTAAAACTCGTTTAAGTAACTCCGCCGAATCAAATCAAAACTATAGGATAACCTATATTTACACAAGACGGTGGCGAAAATCTTAAACACAACACTTCAGACATGGAGTTTAAAGAACGATAATATATGTTCGCTATAGTTAAAGAGTTCAGAAATTATTGAAATATATAGCCTGTACCAAGCTGCTCCATATATCTTTCGTATGAAAGTAGGGTTTCGAAACTACCAGTAAATCAGTAATATGAGATGTATTCACCATATTTCGTTTAAGGTGATGAAGGAATGGAAGGACGAAAAATAAGTAACGTAGTCGACAATCCCACCAAAGAATGTGATATAGCAAAAGACCTAGCCTTCCTTGAAATTCACATCTGCCCTGTGACCTAAGGGCACTCGTGGCAATGTGGCTGAGCGGTTAACGTGTTAAGGTCCCATTCTGCACTGTAACGGTTCGAATCCCGCCGGGGGTGTTGATAAGACCGATGCGAGGTCGAAATTTTAGTCCATCCTGGATGACAACAACTCTTGGAAACCAAGGATATGTGAAATGCAATGGAAACGTCAGCTCTACTGATATCAATGTGGGAAAATTGTACTACCAGTCCTTCATCACCTTAAACAAAATAGGGCGAATACATCTCATATTGCTCCATATATGTCTTGGTTTAATTCCGCATAGTTTATAAAAATTTCTCAATTTATCACAAGATAATAGATTTACAAATGCAAAAAGAGAATTTATATAACTTTCATTATAGAGCAATTTTAGATTAGAGTTAGGTGTATTCTCTTCATTTTATGTAATTTAATCCACGAAAATGTATTTGAAATGACAAATTTTCAAGATCCCAGAATGTTACTGGTAAATCTTCATTTTAATTGTTATAACTATGAGGGGTATAACGAAGCGAAATTTAAATGGAAGTTGGGTTCTCCTCTTTATTGCATGATATGTAGCTATGTTAGGCATGAATGTTGTAGCCTGTGAAAAACTAATTTGTTAAGGGTAGCACAAGAAATTAAAGATTTAATTTTGTCTTCTTAAAAAGAATTTGGCCCCATATTCATACAAAAGTAAATAAGTTATGCAGAATCAATTCATTTTATATATTCATACTAAGCAAAAATATATTAAAAAATTGGTTTTCGATTAAAAGTATAGTGTACACTTATTAGATTCACGTGTATTTTGAATAAAAGCAAAGGATGAAAATATTTGAAGGTTGAACTCTCTCGAAGACGAATATGGTTTCCACTTGGTTATTGTTACTTGGCTGTAATTGAACTTTTTCTTTCAAACTGTATCCGAGACGTTCTTGAATTTCGGTGAAAAGATGCTAACCATATGCCTTATAAAGGAAAAGTGTAATGAGTTTACTGCAATATTATTACAGCTGTCTTAATGCAGAGAATAAATTAAATTCATCTTCTTAGTTCTGCATTTTTTCTCTTCCTCTCTCTCTCTCTCTCTCTCTCTCTATCTATCTATCTATATATATATATATATATA